AAAAATTGAGAATATAGAAACAATCTTTTAATTTGGTGTGACTCACCTGGGTAAAGCATAAAATTATTATCATGCACTGTTTTACCTGTAGCGCCCTCCACTTTTGGTCTATGTTTAGTTTTAGAAAAAATTCATTAAAGTACTATTACAACTTCACAAATGGGGAGGAAAAAAAATTCAAAATTTACCATTTCAAAAACACACTGTGGTATTCCTTTTCATTCACTGCTTCACCAGAATTATAAAATGCAATTGAATCCCCGTTTCAAACTTGAACTCGTTCTCATTTTGGAGGTCCACAGTGTTCTCACTAAGACATCTCCTCCCAAGTGTCAATTAGATATCAAAGAAAAAAGGATTTTAAAACCAGAGCAAGCCTCAACAGATAACTAAACCTCTTTGTACTCTCAGTTATGCTGCTTTCATTCTCATTAGGTCAATTACAAGTATTTGAATGACAACACTCTAAAAAGGAATTTTTACTAGAAAGGATTAGCGATTTGGGGGAGGGGGAGATGGAAGAGGGAAGGAGGGAATGGAAATTTTCTCTAAGCTTCTTCCCATTCACATTCTCTGGAGAATTAAACTATTTAGAGGTTGTCTGAGAACAACAGACTATAAATCCACTGAATATTGCAGAAAGTTTGGAATACCAGCAGAGTGAGCAGAAAAGGAATGTTTGACATATAAGCAGTATTTTTGACACTAAAAAAATTAGTTGATATAAGGTTTTTAGGTTTATGAACTTAAAATGCAGATATCATGGTTCATCTTTTAAAAAATAATGTTCAACGTTTCACACATGTTACAATTTCTATTAACTGGAACAGTCTGGTCTTTTTTAATCGGCATCAATGATAAATAGCACACCTGCTTGACTGGGATGACTGCCAGGGATCAGATGAAATGCAATGCATCTCAATGACATTTTATAAAAGATGCGTAAATGATGCATGCAAGCCAATTCTTCCGGCATGCTATTTCTTGTAGCCTCCTGGCATCTATTTCCACCTGTGAACCCCTTTGTTCACTTTTTGCAGCTTCCTGCTTCACCGTCAACATTGCAATAAACCACATACTCATACTACAGTGTATTATCTAAAACGTTTCCTTTCTTACTTTATAACAAAATCAAATTCAAAATTATTGATACATCTAGTAATAATCCTCTAATGAAAATAATGGTATAATCACATGAAATAAGCAGAGCTGTATGACAAGTAATAGGATTTCTCCTTCCTCTTTAACCACTGAGCTGAGGAGCAGCAGTACGTCACCAGAGCAGCACTAATAACCTGCTGAAGCTGGTTTTGCTAAAACACTGAACCAGTCAATAGTTCTTGAGTGGATAACTGAAAAATCACTTTGCAGATCTCTCTGTACTTATCAATAAAGAAATCACTTGGCTCCTCCAGGAGGAAGAGGAGAAAATTTCAGTGCATACATATTCCACAAAATGCTAGTAGGTTTTTATTAATGTTTCTGTAATTCTGAGGCAAGCCACATGATTCTGATGAGTTTTCAGATATTACTTAATTCATAAAATAAGTAAGTCCGATAGGCACTACTGTGCCTTTTCCTTCCCCATACAAAAAATAAAATCTCAGGGAAACACAACATGCTGTGAGAGTTATGTAGATTCCAAAAGATAATAACAACTCCACAAAGTCATACTGACTTTCTACAAAATAATACGACTAAGGTCCTTGCACACAACTATTATCTATCTGGTATGTCACAATATTTCTTTACTGAAAGAACGGACAAACACTGGAACAGGCTGCCAAGGGAAATGGTGGAATCACTGTCCCTGGGGGCGCTAAAAAAAACGTGTAGATGTGGCACTTTAGGACATGGTTTAGTGGGCATGGTGGTATTAGGTCAACGGTTGGACTTGATGACGTCAGAGGTCTATTCCAACCTAATGATTCTATGATTCTAATACACAAATATTCCTAACCATTTTGTCCATATTTCTGATCCAAAACTGATACTGCTTGTTAGCCTACTGAAATACTTGGACTTACAGAAAAAAGTCCCTTTGAATTCTAAAACATAAGACAAATATTTGTCCATTTTCCTTGCTTTTTCAATTTCAGAACTGCTATATGCATCATTCAGTTTCAAGTCAAGCTAGAGCAACTCTGCCTGCGCCAGTCCCTAAGCAGTTTTTCAGAGCCACCTTCAAATTACTGATCATCCACTTGTTCACAGCACAAGCTGTGAAAGGGAACATACGTCACTCAAAAGTATTAGTTACAAATGAACTACCAATCAAATCGACAGTTAACTAGGCTGTAAAACACCTTCAGACACGAGCATACTGTCATTCCTAACTTCACAGAGCCAGCATCTTCACTGGCTTAGGTTTCAGCCCAACTTACAGGACAATCCCTTCCCCTGATGATGACAGCCCTCACCATCAGACTGCAAAGTAATTCTCACATCTTGACAATTGTCAGGTTTTACAGACATGAGTTCAGATATCCCTGCACAGATACTGCAGATTCTTTAAACTTACTATACAGTCTTCAGAAAAAGATTCAGAAGTTATCAGCACCAAAAACCTGCTTTTTTAAAACGAAATAATTATTCTGGCTCTTTCCTTGCACTTCTCTGAAAGAGATGGACTATTCTGCTTTTAAAACAGTATATCATTCCTGGTTGGTTTTACATTAATTTGTTTCATCTTGCTTGCCAGTTTCCCTATTTTTCTATTTTTACACAACAACCTCCTCAATAGCACTGTCTCATCTCAGCACACACTCTTTCATGAGATCTTAATTATCCAAGTTCAATATAAAAGTTATTTAATATTGGTTGCTGATGTATTTCAGACATCCCAGAAAAAGTTTCACATGTAAAGTGGGAGGTACAAATGCTTTCAAATGTACAGTGGTTTAACAACATTCAATAAAACATACCTGAATTTAATGTGTCTGCTACTAAGAGAAGTAT